GATGGAGCGGATCTATTCTCTCTTGCTCCGGATTGCAAGGCTAGGTCTAATGGGTGGAAATGACAAAGGAGTCGATACGGGCTAAATATCAGGAGAAACTTCCTGACTGTAAGAGTGGTTGAGCAGTGGAACAGTCCGCTTCGGGAGGTGGTGGATGCTCCTTGGCTGGGCGTTTTCAGGGGGGGGCTGGACGGCCCTCTTTGGGGTTCGGGTCTCTTGTAGGGCTATTATCTTTCGGCTCTGCTCCTGCAGGGTGCAGGGGGTTGGACTAGATGACCTGCAAGGTCCCTTCCAACTCTTAACATTCTATGATTCTATGATATGGAGGATTTCCCCCTTTTTTTCTTTTGTATTCACTTTGTCCGTGTATCTCACTTTTTTGCTACCTGTAGGTTGGCAACCCTCATTTCTCCATCCTCGTTGGCCCTTCCCCTTGGCCCAGCATTTCACGTTTATTCCCGATATCTTTCTAACATCATATACGGTGGCTATAGATGGGCTTTCTCCAGAGCACGTTTTGATGCCCTACCCTCCAATTTGTTACAAGGAAGATTCCTGCGTTGGCCTACTTCCCAAAGATGTTGCCCTTGTACAAATCTTGAAATAGAGTCGGTCTCACATATTCTGTTGCATTGTGATTTTTATGCTAATTTTCCCATTGTTGTCCAAATTTAAACCCTTGGATGCCCAGCTGAAATTTGCGGAATTAAGGATTTTAACTTTTCTGCTGGAAGACCGGAAAGAGAGGATCTCTTTAGCCATGGCAAAATTTTGCTTCCTGGCTCTTAAAAAGAGGAAGCTGGGTATCCTAGATATACTGTGTTGCTCCCGCATTTGTTTTAATGTTCTTTTATAGATCCATTTGAATTTTATGTCGGTATTTACTATGTAACTTATATTGTTATTCTTCTTGGGTATGTTTTAAATTGACTGGTCGCTTGACTGTATTAATAAACTTGACTTGACGTTTATCAGCCAGTGTACTCGAGCCCTGGACAAAAAAGATGGCGGTCAGCAGGATCCTTTTACAAGGAGGGTGCGGCAATAGCTGTACTGTCTTGGGGGGGGGGCGTCTCTCTGTCCCTGACCCTGTGTCATCTGCCTGCATTTCTGTAAAACTGTGAACCCCCAGATGCCTCCAGACATGGATTTGCACAAACGTTGGCAGTTGATCTCCAGCTGGCAGAGATCTGCTCCCCTGGAGGAAATGGCTGCTTTGGAGGGTGGGTTCCGTGGCCTGGTACCCTGCTGAGGTCCTTCCCCTCCCCAAACCCCACCCTCCCTAGGTTCTGTCCCCCCCCCAAAAAAATCTCCAGGTACTTCCCAACCCAGACCGGGCAACCCCGCTGAGCCAGAGGAAGCCCCGCGAAGGCCCTCCCTGGCCCCAGGCAGGCATGGGTGGGGAGAGGCAGGGAGGAAGCAACTTACCCTCCCTCTTCTCCTGCCTCCTCCTGGCTGAATGAGGGCTGGAAGCAGGGCGGCCGGAAGCAGGGGGCGGGGCTTCGTCATGTGCCCTGCCCCCCGTACCTCACCCGGGGGAACTGCGATCCCCCGCGATCCCCCCCAAAATGAACTCTGGTGGTGGTTAAGTGCGCGGACTCTAATCTGGGAGAACCAGGTTTGATTCCCCACTCCTCCACTTGCACCTGGCTGGATGACCTTGGGCAAGCTGTAGTTCTGTCAGAGCTGTTCTTGAAAAAGAGCAGTTTCTGTCAAGAGCTCTCTCAGCCCCACCTGCCTCACAGGCAATGTTCCCTCTAAGCTGTCTTGTGAGCAAAAACCCTACTTTGTGAGCTACTGGCATTAAAGTTGTGAGTGAACGATTTGGCTACTGCATAAATTAGTTTGCTCTGGAACCATCCTTCCTGAGCTAAGACCAAAATGTATGAGCCAAAGGCTAAAAACCTGTGAGCTAGCTCACACTAACTCAGCTTAGAGGGAACACTGCTCACAGGGTGTCTGTCTGCTGTGGGAAGGGGAAGGGGAAGGAGTTTGTAAGCCGCTCTGAGACTCCTTCGGGTAGTGAAGGGCCATGGGGTATAAAGCCAATCTCCTCCTCCTCCTCCTCCTCTTCTTCTTCTTCTTCATTCCACATTGTCTTGCCCTTCAAACCCGGCCTGTTAGCAAGAGTGTCCTGCTTTTCGTACAGGTCAGCTGCTGGTATTCAAAGCCCACTTGCCTAGCAACCCCTGGTCGTTGCCCCCCCCCCCGGTCTCATGACAAGGAAATAGGTGCCGCGGGGGGGGGCTCTCTTTGCTGGGGGAGGAAGGACTTCCAGTCTGCTCGGGGTCCTGTCTTGCTGAGGACTTGGCACGAGAGCAACGGTGGCGGAATCCCCAAACAGCCTTCCCAGAGCAGAGGGGCTTTGGCTGACGCACACACACACACACAGTGCTGTAACACGGCCAGGGAAGGCAGCTGCTGTTTAGAGCTAACCTGTTTGCAGATCCATCTGTCCCACTTTATACCCTCCCTGACGCAGGTTGTCATTAGCCTGAAGCTAGATTACTTTCTGGTTTCTTGTTTGTTTTTAAAAAGAAACATCAGAACATCAGAGGAGCCCTGCTGGATCAGACCAGTAGACCATCTAGTCCAGCATCTTGTCTCACTCAGTGGCCAAGCAGTTCCTCTGGAGGCCCAACAACAGGGCAGAGAGGCCAAGGCCTTCCCGTGATGAGAACATCAGAGGAGCCCTGATGGATCAGACCAGTGAGGGTCCATCCAGTCCAGCATCCTGTCTGACACAGGGGCCAGCCAGTTCCTCTGGAGGCCCAACAACAGGGCATGGAGGCCGAGGCCTTCATAAGAACGTCAGAAGAGCCCAGCTCGGTCAGACCAGGGAGGGTCCCTCTAGTCCAGCCTCCCGTCTCACACAGTGGCCAGCCAGTTCCTCTGGAGGCCCAACAACAGGGCAGAGAGGCCAAGGCCTTTCCTTGATAAGAACATCAGAAGAGCCCTGCTGGGTCAGACCAGTGAGAGTCCATCTAGTCCAGCATCCCATCTCACATGGTGGCCAACTAGTTCCTCTGGAGGGCCAAGAACAGGGCACAGAGGCCGAGGCCTCCCCTGATAAGAACATCAGAAGAGCCCTGCTGGGCCAGACCAGTGGCCCATCTGGTCCAGCATCTTATCTTACACAGAGACCAACAACAGGGCATAGAGGCCGAGGCCTTCCCCTGAGAAGAACATCAGAGGAGCCCTGCTGGGTCAGACCAGTGAGGGTCCATCTAGTCCAGCATCCCATCCCACACAGTGGCCAACCAGTTCCTCCGGAGGGCCAACAACGCAGCCTTCCCTGATGTTGCCTCCTGGCTGTGGGATTCAGAGGATTATTGCCTCCCAGTGCGGAGGTTCCCCTTCATCGCCATGGCTAGTTTAAAGATGTTGGCCAATTCCTCTGTCCTCAAGACATTTCATCCCCGGTCCCAGCTGTAAGGCTCTGGTTACTTGACGATGAAAAAGCACTCTGCAGGTTCTCAGAGGTGCTCTTTTTTTGTTTCCTTACGTGGCATCAAAAACCAGCTCCATGGCTCAGCCACAATATGAAGTCATTCTAATTTCCCCTTTACGCCAAGAAATCCTGGCAGACTTCAATACAATCCACTCCTAAGACTTTCCTAAGACATTTCCCGGTGCTTTGAAATCAGAAGCTCCTATTTCTACAAAGAAGGACCTTGAGTGCTGTAGAGTGCAGAAAGAGACTTAAGGAACAGAGGAGCCATGAAGTTGGAGAACTTGGACAACTGTGTTATGTGAAAGATATTACGGGGTATGAATTAGATAAAGCACCTGAATTAATTTTGTTAGACCTTTGGAGAAATATGAAAAATCCACAGATATATAGAGAGTTACTCTCTATGTTACTGTTAGCAGCAAAGATTATTGTGGCGGCAAGTTGGAAAGATCCTTCCCCTATCCCAATCACTAGATGGTACACTAAAATTTGGGAACTACTAGCAATGGACAAGATTGCAGACTCTATACGGTCATTTGAAGGCACCAATACAACTACTAATACTTTGATCAAATGGCTCCCTTTTACGGAGTACATTATTGGTAACTCCCCCCAAATGTTACCTAATAAACAAAATACTTATGGAGATATTATTACCTTCATCTAAAGGGTTAAAGAGTCATATGCAAGTGTAGTCTGTGTATTGTTTTAGCTGTCACTTTACCTTTCTGTACTTCTGAGATGTTTGGAAATTGTTGTTTGTTAAGTATTGACTTTTATGATTGTGTTTGATCTTTTTTGTTTGGAAATTAAAACTAATAAAAATAATTTAAATTAAAAAAAAAGTTGGAGGACTGGAGTGGAGAACGGGTTTCACGTGACGTGGATCTGGGCAGGTGGCTCCTACAGCGCGATCTGAACCTTGCTTAGACTAACCCACGGAGTTCAGTCCCTTCTTGTAAATTTGCTGAGGGTGGCTGTCGAAGTGGGCAAGATGGAGCTGCGTGTCCTGACCAGCCACCCAGCCCAACTTGCGAACAGGATTGTATCTACCACAGCAGTGCTGAACTTGCTTTTGAGAGTTCTGTGATGCTGAACAAAGCATATTTTTTCTCGGGGGGGGGGGTTATCAGGATACGCAGCAACTCCATCGGGCACCTGTTTGGGAAAGTGGTAGAAGCTGCGTCGATCTCCTCAAATGCACAGCCATCTTTTAAATGTTAAATTTGGGCTGTAAATGTTGATGGGTATGTTTCTTTGCTGTTACACGCTGCTTCGGGAATGGCTGCCATGGCAAGGCAGCGTGTAAAGATTCTACGCTAAAGGGGGTGTGTGTGAACCAGGGCTGGTTGTCTTTGGCTGCTCTTGAACAGTGGAGCTTGGAGTTGTAGAACCGCATCCATGCAGCTCTCCTGTACGCCTCTCCCCTCCCCTTTTGACGTTTTGTTTCTTTCTCCAGCACCGGAGAAGGACCACCCACTCACTCCCTGTTTCTCTCTCTTCCTTCCCCCCGGCCTTCTCCTTCTTCCTTCCCCACCCTTTGCAGCTGTTCCTGGATGACACCAAGGTCAAGAACTTCATCACCTGCTTCAAAGGTAATGTCTTCAAGGCGCCCCATACCAGTCTCTGTGCTCTATTGGGCCTCCAGAGGAACTGGTTGGCCCCTGTGTGAGAGGGGATGCTGGACTAGATGGATGACTGGTCTGACCCAGCAGGTCTCTTCTGATGTTCTTCTCAGGGGAAGGCCTCGGCCTCTATGGCCTGTTTCTGGCCCTCTAGAGGAACTGGCTGGCCATTGTGTGAGACGGGATGCTGGACTAGACAGACACTCACTGGTCTGACCCGGCAGGGCTCTGCTTATGTTCTTCTCAGGGGAAGGCCTCGGCCTGTGTGCCCTGTTGTTGTCCCTCCAGAGGAACTGGTTGGCCGCTGTGTGAGACAGGATGCTGGACTAGACAGACAGTCACTGGTCTGATCCAGCAGGGCCCTTCTGATGTTCCTATCGGGAAGGCCTCGGCCTCTCTGCCCTGTTCTTGGCCCTCCAGAGGAACTTCTTGGCCACTGTTTGGGACAGGGTGCTGGACTAGATGGACCCTCACTGGTCTGATCCAACAGGGCTCTTCTGAGGTTCTTCTCATGGGAAGGCCTCGGCCTCTATGGCCTGTTTCTGGCCCTCCAGAGGAACTGGTTTGCCACTGTGGGAGGCAGGAGGCTGGACCAAATGGACCCTCACTGGTCTTGATCCAGCAGGGCTGAAGGCTTCTGCCTCTGTGCCGTATTGTTGCCCCTCCAGAATAAGTGGTTGGCCACTGTGTGAGACAGCACACTGGACTAGATGGACCACTGGTCTGATCTCGATGTTTCTATGTTTCTGTGCCCCTGTGGAAAGAAAGGCCCAAGCCAAAAAACAATTTCTAAGAAGACCATTCCTAGCATTAAATGAAGGAAAAGCCTAGATTTATACCCCACCCTTCACTACCCGAAGAAGTCTCTGAGCAGCTTACAATCTCCTTTCCCTTCCCCTCCCCACAACAGACACCCTGGAAGGTAGGTGTCATTCTCCTTAGTCAGATAACTGTTTATTGATGGGTCCAATACTAAAGAACACGTGTACAGCTTGTGTCAGGAATGGCCGTCAGTACTACGGCCTCTGACTTACAGTAAAATTAAACGTCCCACTGTAAGTATGAGCCAATGGATATATCTCGCGCGCATGTAAATATGAGCCAATGGATATATCTCGCGCGCACGGCCAAAGCAAGTGGGCAAAGCAAAAAAAGCCGTTAACTTTCCCAGCCAAGTAAACTGCAGCTGGAACATCTACAAGGTCAAGCATAAGATAGCACACAGTTGATGAGCCAGGGAGAGCTGAGAAGGAGGGTACCCCTCCACATTCCAGATCTATGACAGGGCTACCTGACAGTAGGGGGGGGGGGCTGAGAGAGCTCTTTCGAGGACTGCCCTTGAGAGAACAGCTCTGAAGGAACCTTTGACTGGCCCAAGGTCACACCAGCAGCTGCATGTGGAGGTGGGGAATCACACTCGGTTCTCCCAGATTAGAGTCCACACTCCTAACCACTACACCAAACTGGCGCTCAAGACTAGATGGTTGGCCTCTGCGTGAGACAGGATGCTGGACTACATGGACCACTGGTCTGATCCAGCAGGGCACTTCTCATGTTCTTAACTTTGGCCCAGGTCTCTTCTTCCTGGGAAGCAACTTTTTCCTTGCAGGTTATGCAAGGTTAGCCAGGCACTCCTGAGCAGTTGGGAGGCTGCTGAGCCCTCGAGTGTTGTGTAAATGAACCCCCCCCCCCAACCTCTGGTGAGAATTTGAGGATATGCCGCTAAGCTATAGCATGATCCCGAAAATCCCCTCTTTGGCATTCTTATCTCCTTCTGCAACTGCACTCATCCCCTCCCGTGCGCCGGTATTAAGACCTGCGGCCGTAATCTTTAATCAGGGCATTAAAATCCAGGCCGGCTCCCCATCAGGCGTGGCTCCCGTCAAGTCATTAAAGCAGCAGTGTTTTCGGGTGAACACAGAGCGCATAAAAATGGCTACTCTGAAGGGCTTAGCAGGGAGCCGGGGGGGGGGGGCAGCCGGGCAGCCGCAGGTAAGGCAGGAAGGTCTCCCGCTAGCCCTCTTCTTTTCCCCTAAGCAAAGGCAACAGTGGACTCTAGATGGTAACCAGTGTTCCCTCTAAGCTGAGTTAGTGTGAGCTAGATCACAGTTTTTTAGCCTCCGGCTCACACATTTCTGTCTTCGCTCAGGGAGGATGGGGCTCCAGAGCAAGCTAATTGATGCAGGAGCCAAATTGCTCGCGCACAACTTTAATGCCAGTCGCTCACAAAGTGGAATCAGTGCTCACAGGACTCCACAGCTTAGAGGGAGCACTGATGGTAAGCCAATTGGGGGGAGGCATTTTCGAGAACCTTCCTTATGAGGAAAGGCTGATGAATGTGGGGCTTTGTGGGGCTTTTCAGTTCAGAAAACAAGAAGAGGAAGAGATTTGGTTTATACCCCGCCCTTCACTACCCAAAGGAGTCTCAGAGCGGCTGACAAACTCCTGTCCTTTTTCAAGAACAGCTCTGGCAGAACTACGGCTTGCCCAAGGTCATCCAGCCAGGTGCAAGTGGAGGAGTGGGGAATCAAACCCGGTTCTCCCAAATTAGAGTCTGCGCACTTAACCACTACAACAAGCTGGCTATTTAGTATAGGGCAGCTTCATGTGTGTGTTCATGCGTGGGGCTGGACTCCGTTTTCAGCTTGAGCACTGTTTGAAAACCACCTTGCTGCAGTATGGGACAAGTCCTGCTAGCATCGACAGGCTCCTGAGTTGATTTCATGCTTGTGTTAACAGCGTGTTCTTAACAGAGGGATCGTTTCATGCTTCAGAGTTCTTTAAGGTCAGGAGCAGCCCTTGAGATTGTCTATTCTGGCTCCGAGCGTCTCTCACGCAGCTTGGAAAGTTCTGCCAATCAGTGGTGTGTCAGTCTCTGGACCGTCTGCATGTCGCCCGCTTGCTGACGTGCACCTGCCTCCTCCCTGGGAGTCACCCGCAAGCCGCATGCGCCGACGGCCCGTCCAAACGGCACTGCAGAGGGATGCTGTCATTGCGTCCCATCCATGCTGTGAAGGGAGGGTGCCGCGTACCACCTCCATCCCTCTTGAATCTGGATGTGTCCTGTGACAGCCCGGGCCTGATGCCAGGAAGGGAGAATGACACAAGCCGTTTGTCTAGCTCAGAACCACTGAGAAGGGTCTTCGGTCAAGATGTGCTCTGGGCGAGTCCAGGAGAGCCCCTGTCCCCTGTCTTAAATCTCACGCGTCAACTTCCTCTCCTTAAAACGAAAATGGGAAGTGCAGTTAAGTAGTGTTTACGTGATAAGTAGTGTTAAGCAGTGTTCCCTCTAAGCTGAGTTAGTGTGAGCTAGCTCACAGTTTTTTAGCCTCTGGCTCACAGATTTTTGTCTTTACTCAGGAAGGACGGCTCCAGCGCAAACTAATTTATGCTTCTCTCAGCCCCACCTGCCTCACCGGGTGTCTGTTGTGGGGAGGGGAAGGGAAAGGAGTTTGTAAGCCGCTCTGAGACACCTCTGGGTAGTGAAGGACGGGGTATAAATCCAATCTTCCCCCTTCTTCTTCTAACTGGCAGACATTATTCTTGTCTCCTGCCACCTTCTGCTTCAAAGATGATCTGGGTGCCAGAATTTCATTTCCAGTTTGCACAACCTTCCCTGGAGGTTTTACCTGGTTACCTGACCTTATAGACTTGGCAGCAACCTTTAGCCAACAGTACCCTTTCCCTTCTCCCTTATTTCCCCGCTTTCTCCTCTAAGACCATCCCAGACTCTGCACTGCTCCCGGCAGAAGCAAACCTGATGCCTGGAGCATCTTAATTTCCCCTTCCCAATTACACCGCTGCAGCTGTGCTATTAATAACTTGAGTTTATGACTCGTACACCGGCTCGTGCCTTTGCAGACTTGTAAATACCTTCCGGGGGTGGGGGGGAGTGCATCTGTGGGCCCCAGTTGCCAGGCCCTGGTACCAGAAGGAGTAAATCAAGACAGTGTGCCGTGGAAGCTGAAAACAGCATGGCTCAAAAGAAAGGATGCTGGACTGGATGGACCATTGGTCTGATCTGGCAGGGCTCTGCATATGTTCTTATGGAGGCCTCAGCCTCTCTGCCCTGTTGCTGGACCTCCAGAGGAACTGGTTGGCCCCTGTGTGAGACAGGATGATGGACTGGATGGACCCTCACTGGTCTGACCCAGCAGGGCTGATGTTCTTATGACAGCCTCAGACCCTGTTTTTAGACCTCCAGAGGAACGGGCTGGCCACTGTGTGAGACGTGATGATAAAACAGATTGAACACTGGTCTGGACTAGATAGACCACTGGTGTGATCCAGCAGGGCTCTTCTTAGGTTCTTATCAGGGGAAGGCCTCGGCCTCTCTGCCCTGTTGTTGGCCCTCCAGAGGAACTGGTTGGCCCCTGTGTGAGAGAGGATGCTGGACTGGATGGACCCTCCCTGGTCTGACCCAGCAGGGCTCTTCTGGTGTCCTTATCAGGGGAAGGCCTCGGCCTCTCTGCCCTGTTGTTGGCCCTCCAGAGGAACTGGTTGGCCCCTGTGTGAGACAGGATGATGGACTGGATGGACCCTCACTGGTCTGACCCAGCAGGGCTGATGTTCTTATGACAGCCTCAGACCCTGTTTTTAGACCTCCAGAGGAACGGGCTGGCCACTGTGTGAGACGTGATGATAAAACAGATTGAACACTGGTCTGGACTAGATGGACCACTGGTGTGATCCAGCAGGGCTCTTCTTATGGTCCTATGAAGGCCTCGGCCTCTGTGCCCTGTTGCTGGACCTCCAGAGGAACTGGTTGGCCACTCTGTGAGACAGGATGCTGGACTACCTTTGTACCCAGCCTTTGAACCCACCATTGTACCCAACCTAAAACATGGGAGCCGCTCTTCAGTCTTTCTCCTTACCATTATTTTTGTACCAACTTACCCCCCCCCTCACATAAATATATCCCACATTTTCTCAAGATGAGTGGCTGTGTTAGTCTGTCTGTAGCAATAGACTACTCTAAAGCCTTTGGTTGTGTGGATCACAACAAACTATGGCAAGTCCTTAAAGAGATGGGACCACCTCACATAAGAACATAAGAGAAGCCAATGTTGGATCAGGCCAATGGCTCATCTAGTCCAACACTCTGTCACACAGTGGCCAAAAATACCAGGTGCCATCAGGAGGTCCAGCAGTGGGGCCAGGACACCTGTTGCCCCCCCCCCGGCAGTGGGGCCAGGACACTAGAAGCCCTCCCACTGTTGCCCCCCCCAGCACCAAGAATACGGAGCATCATTTGCCCCAGCCTGAGAGTTCCTATCTCTATCTTGTGGCTAATACCCCCTAATGGACCTCTGCTCCATATAAGAACATAAGAGAAGCCAGTGTTGGATCAGGCCAATGGCCCATCCAGTCCAACACTCTGTGTCACACAGTGGCCAAAAATACCAGGTGCCATCAGGAGGTCCTGCAGTGGGGCCAGGACACTAGGAGCCTTCCCAATGTTGCCCCCACCCCCCAAGGACCAAGAATACACAGCATCCCTTGCTCCAGCCTGAGTGTTCCTACCTATACCTTGTGGCTAATAACCACATATGGACCTCTGCTCCATATAAGAACATAAGAGAAGCCAATGTTGGATCAGGCAAAATGGCCCATCCAGTCCAACACTCTGCGTCACACAGTGGCCAAAAACACCAGGGGTCATCAGGATGTCCAGAAGTGGGGCCAGGAGGACACTAGGAGCCCTCCCACTGTTGCCCCCCCCCCCATGCACCAAGAAGACAGAGCATCACTTGCCCCAGACTGAGAGTTCCTATCTATACCTTGTGGCTAATAGACACTGATGGACTTCTGCTCCATATGTTTATCCAATTCCCTCTTGAGAAATGTCTCTTGAGAAACCTGTATAAGGGTCAAGAAGCAAAAGTTAGAACCAGATATGGAACAACTGATTGGTTTAGCATAGTAAAAGGAGTACGACAAGGATGTATATTGTCCCCTTGCTTATTTAATTTATATGCAGAGTACATCATGTGAAATGCTGGCCTGGATGAATCACAAGCGGGAATTAAGATTGCTGGGGAAAAG